TGTTTAGTGTTCATTGCAAACCACCACCTTGTCGCCAGCGTCGAACAATGTCCCAAGCACGGTAGGCCGCCACGCTCCTCCAGTGAGCTTTTACTAATGTATTTGCAGCTCACTAGAATTGCCGACCATTCCTCTGGAGATTCAATTCCTCATCCTAGACCAGATCACTGGGACATTTGGGAACGTGGCGCCCGAGGTCGTAAATGAAAAAAAATTAAAAAAGGAACTCGGCCGCGTGGCCCTCATCTGTTCAGCATGGACAGCACATATACAATCACTTCTGTTTCGACGTGTGTATATCGCAGATTCGAATGTCGTGGCTGGCTGCTTTCTCTCTCTCCTACGCAGGAATAATCATCTTGGACATTACACAACCATCCTTGTCATGCAGTCAGCTGCGGCACTTCCCGAACTTCCTCCCGAACCTGCGCACCGTAATCATCTCCAGCAGCGTCTTTGAACCTATCGAAGGATCGGTTCGACCATGGGTCGGGGTTACACATCTCAAGATGAAGTTTTGTATGCTGTCGACTGCAGAGGACCTATGGCGGCTCCTCTGTATTTTTACCGCCTTGGAAAATCTTCATCTTTCCGGGTGGCTGGTGATGGATCCCGACGCTCCCATAGTCATTGCGGCTAACGCGCCGGCTATACATCTGAAGGAGCTCGTGCTCCTGTCCTCGCGACACCATTCTCCCCATCCTGCTGTCGCCCAGCTCGCTCTGCACGATCTCACCGTCGATCGCCTTTCCGTTACGCTTCTGGCCGTGGAGGACTGGGATGCGTCGGCATGCAATTCGTTGCTGTGCAAGAGTGGGCCCACGCTGCAGGAGTTGGAACTCGTCGTTGATCTGCCTGGACCAGAAGAGCGGATCCCCGGTCAGTGCTGCGCACATCCTGTTTATCACATTTTCTCAACTCTGTCAATTGTAGAAGTTAGGATATGCATCAGGCCCTGTACGGTACTCCGCAGCCTCACGCTCGGCCTATGTTCTATCGCGGGCAGCGCACAAACAACGCGTGACGGCAACCTCATCGTCTCCATTCTGAACCAGATCTCCGCGCCACGCTGACGACGTTGACATTCAATGTCAATGTGTCCTCCGAGTCGCTTACAGCGCCGCTTCGCGAGCTTCACTGGGACGAGATCGACGAGAGCATTCTCGGTCGCCTTGGCCCTCACCTCGAGCGTGTTGTGATTAGGAACCGGGACCTGGTTACGGACGGGCCTGATTTGCGGTTTGACGAGTTTGCTGAGTTTTTGAAGGATCGGTTGGTCGGCCTCGGGCGGGGTCATCTGCTGCAGTTTGAACGTGGTGACCTCTAATTTCGCGTTGTACTGTATTACCAGGAAGGAAAGATTGAACATTATCCGAGGCTGGTAGAATGTTTCACTGAATTCTGTGGCCAGATCACCAGAGTTTGCCGCACTCGGCGCCCCTCTGTCGCCGTCTGCCGCTGACGATCTGACGCCCGTTGATTGCTCGCGGCACAGCGGCGTCAGAGGCGCAGCTTGGCGATCTGTGCCGATCCGCCTACGGAATGCAGTGATTGTTGCCGGGAACTCAGGAATATTGGATCGCCTCAACAGCTTTATCCGCTGTTAACAATATGTATTCTATCAGCGCATGCCTCGGCCACATTGCTGGGACGATACGAGCTGCGCGAAGACGAAGCACGCAGCGATAAGAATTCAGGAATATTCAAGCGGAGAGGAGGAACCAAGCCCGACATCTTCGCTCTGCACGATCCGATTCGTACGTACGATTGGGAGGAGGGAGGAGACGTACCCTCTTGCTCCAATCCCGCTCTGAGAGAGTAAAACCCCCGTCTCTGCCCTTCGAGTCCTCCCGCGCATAACACATTTGGTGTGGGGTTGAGAGTTGGCATCGAGGATGAAGCTCCTAGACGGTCATGCCTGAAAACCGATGTTAGTCGCGGGAGAGAGAACGGGGGAAGGCGCAGAAGGGTCTGATAAAGAGGGACGGGGTCAGAAAGGCATCGTGGACATGTAAGGGAGACGCACCCGTTGGTCAAGACTGACCTTCAAACTCCCACTGAACGGACAAATGAGGGGGTAGCCATAGCCGATATTTGAGCCGCGTGCAAGTAGTGGGGAATGCGTGTCGAGCATAGAAATGCGATACCAAGGATCTGGACGGACAATGAGCGCACAGAGACGGCATGGACAGCGGAGGAACCAACCACCGTGTAATACAGTGTAGCCCGTGATGGGCGCATAGACGTGTCATGGTCGTGGGTGCGAATGACGGGGATGAGGGTGCGAGCAGAGGCCCGCGCGGAGAACAGGTAGGCTGAGTCCGTTGTCAGCGTGGGTATAAGGGGATGGGCACAGACACACCATAGGAGCCCGGGGGATTCAAAAAGGAGGAAAATCGATTTGGCGCTTGTTGGAGTCGAGATGAGGAAGACGGGCTGTCGATAGCCAAAGCATCTATATCGTTGTCAGCGCGCGCGCAAAGATTCAAAGACGACGCACCGTTTGTGCACGGGCACGGGAAGGCGCTGGCGAAAGATCCACGCCTGACCCTATTTCAGCATGACGAGTGGATCATTCAATGTCTGAATCACCGTCGGCGGGGACGCGTGCCGCGGAGGGGAACGAAAGAGGACACAGCGCGGGTGCGTATCGAGCGAGGAGGAAGGACAGTGCGGGGGCTGGTCTCCGGTATGTACTGGATTCAAAATGTCAGCGCTATTGAATGGCCTGGCCGAAGGGACACGGAACCTCTCGGTCGAGGACATGGTGGGCGGCGGGCGAAGTCAAAGATGCTCGACACAGGGGTACTCTACACGTGAGTAACGCGCGACAGTCGCATCTTCGCGCCTAGTACGGTTGGGCAGGCTGGGAGGGACGGGCAGGCTGAGGCGATGCTGCTGCGGATAGGGATCCTGGTGCTCAACAGGCGCAGCGGTCAAGCAGGTGGGGGTGCGAATGTGGTGGCGAAGGTCGAGACGGGCGGGTGCGAGTGCTACGTGTGTGGGTGGTGCTGTGGTAGCCTCGGCGCGACGTAGGGGGCAGACGCGTGAACTGTCCAACCCTTTGCCCTTGTTTGCGCGCCTTCTTTTCCCCATCACGTGCGTCGCGTCAAGCCATCAACACAACTCACTCTTTTCGCGTGTATAAGCCCATTTCTGCTCTGCAGCCGCTGAAACGGCTATAGAACGTGTCTTGTGGGTGGTAGATTGTGTTGGCAGATATTTGGAGAGGGAGGACAAGAAATGGGGTATAACGGCTTATTTTGGGAATAATGCACGGACCAGGTTGCGAGTTTAACGGCTTTGTGTTGGATCCGTCCTTGCATAACCCCGAATATGTTAGACTCATCATGTCCCAGGTATCCAAGTACCGCCGTCAACCATAAAAGTCGTCGTTGATCACGGTGATCATCCCATTCGATTGTTAAACCCAATTACAATGAGTGGATGAAGGTTCGATTCCTTCCGAAGGCATCGCCAAGGCCAAATCATCTTTTTTCACAGTTGTTGAACTTGAACATGCAGGATAAGACCCAGAACGCTAGCGCCGCACTCGGTGGTTCTATTTCGCCGGACCAACAGCAGCATGGTACCGCCATTGCTCCGTTTTTTTCTCTGCTTTCAGAATATTCGCAGCTTACTTACCTACCCACCTGTCCGTACCCTAGAAGCCCTCGTGGATCAAGGTGATTGCCCCTATTCGGTTCGCTGCATACTGGGAGGATTTGATCGCGGGGAGGTGGAGGTTCGATTCCTCCCGGGGGCTATATCAGTGAGCTGTGTGTTTTTGGTCTTCCTTCATCTCGAAGTTTTGCTCGCACATGTACATCCCAAAGCTCAAGAGATGAGGCCCGTTTCATCAAACGCTGGCATTGGTACCGTACACGGTCACAGCCGTGAGCAGTACGGCCGCATTGGCATGTGTCATGAGTGGACCGAGAAGCCCGGGCCCGTAGATGCCGTTTTCGAGTGTTGTCTGTCGTGCATGAAGGGGTAACTTGAAGTTGTTTCTTTGACTTTTGACTTTGAAATTCAGTGCGGTGACTGGGGTGAATGAATTATTAATATGAACACATTTCTCCGACCCCACGATCTACTTAATCTGTTGAGCCGCTCGGCTGCGGCACTAACGGACATTCAGGCCAAAAAGCCGAATCGATATCAACTTCCTTCGGGACCCAACCGGTTACCAATGCCATGAATTAACGGACTTCACCCTATCATCCAAGAGGATGCGCAGCTGAAACTTCTTTTACCGTTTCTTCCGAATTCGCAATAGGCGGAAGACCCGAAAAATAAATTTATGCACGTTTCAAACGGCAATGGAAATGCATCCTATCCCATCCTATCCCACCCAAGCACCAGCTTCAGCCATAAAGCCGTCGTTGATCAGGGTGATCGCCTCATTTCAATGCTTGATCCGGGGCAATTAAGCATGAGGAAGCGGAGGTTCGATTCCTTCCGAAGGCATAAAGTCTTGCTTGTATTTTTTCCTTCAACTATTCCGGCTTACTTCTCACTTGTCCGAGTACTAAGCACACCCTGGAAGGATAAGGGAAGGGAAACTTTTCCCCGTTCAAAGCACATCCGAATTCAAAAGTCGAGAAGATAGAGTCTGGGCTGTTTTCTCAAACGGCATGGAGTCGACCGAGAAGCCCGTGGATTCCGGTCTAAGGCTTGACGTGCATGAAGGGGCTAACTCGAAGTTGTTGGCTTCGAAATTCAGACGTACATACGTAGTGACTGGAATAAAATACACATACATTTACTATGCTGAAGACACCTCTTGTACAAAAGTCGAATCAAATTCCATCGGCTCTGAACCGTGCATGCACGGGGATCAACTTCGGTTTGTCAGGTGATAAGTACCTACCCTCTTAGTACTCAACGTACAGAGTCGCAACTGGTTGAAGACCCGAATAATAAATTCCTGCATGCTTCAGTATGAAAATTCATCCTATCCTATCCTATCCTATCCAAGCACCAGCTTCAGCCATAAAGCCGTCGTTGGTCAGGGTGATCACCTCATTTCAATTCCTGGACTATGATACCCACGAATTTAATTGCATGAGGAGGCGGAGGTTCGATTCCTTCCAAAGGCATAGTGTTTCTCAGAGTTTTTTCACAAAGTTGCATTCTCTTTAAATGTTGCATAGTACAACACATATGAACATGCAGGTGAAGCCTAGCCGTTGATCATTTTTTGTACTTTCAGAATATTGCTAACCCTACCTCCATATCCAAGCACCAACCACTCTACAGCTCTCGTGGCTCACCGTGGTGATCAGTAGTGAGGTGGAGGTTCAATTCCTCCCAAGGGTTTGGGTAGCTTGGTTTCAAAATTTTGCTCCGTTTTTTGCATCATGCATCCCAAGTTGAGTACTTCGATAGAGGCTGGGCCCGTGTTATCAACCGTTGGGCATTGGAAATGGCATGTGTGCCAGGAGTGGGCTGAGAAGCCTGTACATTCCATTTCGAGCATTGACTTGACAACTGTTGCTGACCTGTGTAGTGGCAGGGATACGATGGGGATCAAACTCTGAACGCACTCTGTTGAGTCGCCCAGGTGCCTTCAACCAATCAGTGGCCCGCACAATCCCATCAGTGGAACACCCTTTTTGAACCTGTTCTTCAAATATGTAATGTTAGCAAACAAACACCTGCAAACCCATTCCACTCGAGAGATTCAACAAATGGGGTATGAGCTCAATTTTTTTTGATGTGTCTGTCTCAGAAAGACTAAGTACCCGGGAGATGTCCTTTGGCCACATGAAATCATATCTCAAGCCACCTGAGAGCTAAGGGGTCTTTTGACTGCTTTTTTGACGTCAGACGACTACAGCAATCACTGGAGTTTCGGTTTCAAATATTCATTCAGAGATTGTCTCCTACAAGACAAGGGATGGGGAGTACACGGTGTGGAAGTGCCATTTGGCACGCTCGTAGCGATTACCTCACAAGGAATTGCGATTGAGCTCCTCTCGGGCGATAACAGCCATCCATTTCTCTCTACTACCTCTACTTGTGAACGACTCATCCCTTCCTCCCCTCCATCCCAATTGTTACAGATTATTCCTTCCTCGGCCAAATACCTCACGCTGCGCACAAAGCTCACGCGCTTAGGACGATCACATGCCCGTGTTCAACAACTTAACTGGATGTTCCTCCACGTGATTATACCAGATTGAAGGCTCGGACCGCGTGTTATTATTCCATCACATATCCCTCGATCCCATACACGCACCCTCATGATCAATACTTATTTTTCTGATCCCTCAGTTTCTCTTTTACCTATTGCTCGTGTTGTACACCTGCTGGTCGCGACGCCTGCTCGAACAACTTGGTCAACTCGGAGTGCACCTGGGATCAACACGCTGGAGGGGGGGATGTTCTCATGCAGTAACCACCATGACCAAACAGCGAATCCTGGACAGCTGACCCACCTGGCTCCCCTGCTGCATGCAGGGCACTCTACGACACACTCCGACCCACTCTCAGCCCACTACTCCTGCCTAGAATCTTTGCTCGACTCCGCACTTGCCACGCTGATGCTCATCCGTGACCACACCCAAAGTCCAGACCTGCCAGCGCTTACTGGCCATATGACGGAGGTGCTGCAAGCATTGTGTAGACATACTGTCTCAGTGCACCCTGGCACCACCATCCCGTAGAGGCTCTTCCCAAGGCCACGAGGGCGTCGCACAAGAGTTGTTGCGAATGGGCGCTGTCCTCACGGAGCAGACGATTCTCTCCGCGCAAGTTCCCCAGTTCCTCCTGCATCACTCCGAACTGCTCTCCCGTGTGTTGTAGGGCCTGCAGCAGAACACTGTCCCTCTCTTTGCCAGTTAGGGCACCAAAGCTCTCCATCGAGGGGAGCACATAGTCGTTGCTCATCGTGTTACGTCCAGTCGAGTACGCCGTGTAGAGACACTATTCTTTTGTCAGCACAGAGCAGATTCCGGGTTCTGAGGTGACGAGGGCGACTGAAGCACGAGGAGTTCCAAACGAATAAGCCTGGAGTTTAGACTAGAATAGTGTAAAGTACAGGGAATTAACTACAGCTGATATACTGAAGTCCCTAGGGGTTGTAAATTAAGGTACAGTGTCCAATAGCAACGGACAAGATTAATGCAAAGTAAATGAAGGGGTATATGAACGTAGAGGGGCGATTGGGAACCCGAAGGTCGGGGAACCGATTGAAACCGTTTGAGATCCTAAAACGGTATCCTGGCTCGATTGATCAGATAGTTGATCTGATCAATGATCGGGTTGTTCGGGTTGTTCGGGTTCTGGAAGTGAAATGAAAAGACGGTTCATGACACACCACGACTCCAAACCCAACCCCAGCCCCAGCCCCATCCCCATCCCCATCCCCATCCTCGACCAGACCTGCCACGTACGCCTAGGTCATGACAGGCCCAGCCACTGATCCGGCCGCGATATCAGCGAACACCCCAGATTCCGTGCTCACTCCCACACCTCCTGTCAGCCCTAATAAGGCTCAGGGTCCAGACCTTATTTTCCGTTTTGACTGCCACCCCTTTGATTCTCCCCCTCCTCTGGCCAGACGACCCCATCCCTCACGCCTCTTTACCAAAATCGAGGAGAAATCCATTGTCGGCGATCTTCAGCTCACGAGTGTCCGATGGACCACAAAGGGGAATCTCGCCTTTACCTTTCTCCACAACAAACATTTTGCCTCTGATGACATTACGAAGCAGTCTTCAGAGCTCTGGAAGGTCATTTGCCGCCTCCTCCAACTGCCAAAGAATCATTTCTGCCCCCGAGTTGACCGGGGTGGCTCATGGCACAACATTGTCATCCATAGGGTCCCATTGGTGAATGCAGGGGCTACCACATAGGAGGAAACCATCAGCGGTGCTCGAGGCTGGCTGCAGTCCAGCGGTGTCGATGCTGAGGCGATATCACTCATGTGCAGCGAACTTGACCTTGCCTCACGAGAAACTGCATCTCTGCGAGTGTCCTTGTCGTCCAAAAAACATGCTGATTTCCTGGTGCAGAATGGGGTCCTCGCCCTTGGCTCTCAGTGCTGTGTATCCCATTACATTCCCAAGTCCAAACTGCCATCATGACCCTATGCTTCCACCCATGCACCCCTCCCCCTCCTCAATCTTACCCGCTTCGAGTCTTCGACTCCTAGTCATGCCGAATTCACAGTATAGAGCAGAACTAACACATTAGCCTAGATATTTACAGTGCAAGAGGGGTCCCTAACATACTGTACGCGGTGAGGGGGAAATAAATTTGATTCAAAAAAAAAAAAAAAAAAAAAAAAAAAACGCTGGAGGTTTGGTCAACCACCAGCAGGTGTTTTGCAGGGAACATTGTCTCCCTATACCGTCTTTTGTGCATTACCTGGTTGGCTAGAGTTCTACGAGTTGGTTAGCATCATGTATGGTTATTTTTATTTCCCATGGACTCTTACATAGCAGAACATTTGTATATTGTTTCCAAGGGGCTCTGGTGACGCACGAGTACGTGTTACAGCCACCCCCGATCACAGTATAAGTCTCTTCCCAATTGAAACAGGGGACTATCTCCCTCTTTCCCCCCATCATCTCTGTCTTAACCTGAGCTTTATCTTGTCCATCTTATCGAACACGAGGTCTACGAGACACCAAGTCGCTATCCCAAAGCTGAGTACCATTTTCTTATTGTTTAGTCCACTGTAAGCCTGCAGCCTAGGGTATATATTAGAATCGGTAATTTGGTGAGACTGTAGAACAGAACAGACTGTATTAATGTGCTACCAATTACAAGCTTTTATACTCTACCAGATAACTAGAACATTCTGAACATCTTACTAATGCTTGGTAAGTTGAACCTCGGTCTCGGTAAGCATGTCGGGCGGATCATGCACTCGTCGGGAACCGTGGGAACTCAGCTTGATATTCCAACAGTATATTCACGACCTCCACCACTCAGGTCTACCCCCCAGACCAACTCATCTTCTACAACGGGTGACAACTACTTCGGTAAATTCGAGCCCTCACTTTCAGGGATTACTCAGGTACTGATGTACCCAGCTCTCTGTGTCTGGCACCTGCGGAGGGTTGGGTGACTCGGTTGGACATCCTGGATAGATTCTTGAGAGGTATTGAGGTCAATAGGTACCTCAGCTACTTAAACAGAAGAGCTGGCCATGGCCCATGGCAGCTTGGAGTGAAGCCAGCTTAGTTTGACAGGTGGGTGGTAGAGAAAGATGTGCATGTTCAAATCCCTTCCTCATGGTCATTGCTAACATTGTTGATATGCACAGTTCATTGCTGAACTTGGGAATTATCGCTCTAACATGCTCAGTACTCTCCCAGGAGGAGATGGAACAGGAGGAGACTGTGGCATCAAGGCCTAGGATGTGTTAAGGCATAGCACGAGTGCAGGTCAACCCAAGAGTTTCACAGGTAGACTTGTGGGAATACTTGTGATAAACCCGTCCTGCGGGTTTGGGTACCCGTTGCCATGGGTAGACACAGATCCGGGTTTCAATTTTCTGTCTTGACATACCCGTGTCTAGCATGTGGCTCGGGCCCCCTTACAATGAACAATGAACAATGAATGATTGTGATGAATCGCCCGGGTTCTACTTTTTCGCATGACGCGTCTGTATGGGTACAGACACGTCTTAGCGGCATGGGACTCTCATGACACCACCATGTGACCTTCTCACGGTTGAACCTGGCCACGGATTCTAAAGCTGCAGACTCGGGGTAGTCTGTACCACGGGATACAGAAGACGTTAGAGACTAGGAACCCGTACAGATGGATCTTAGTCCTCAGATGCGCCACAGCTGACACAGAAGCGTACACAAAGTACATGACTGGTTGCAAACCAATCGGGGTTTGAACCACTGGAGATGATGACATTAAGGATTAGAAACCTGAACGTCAGGTCTCCTAAGTCCTCCAACGCCACGGAAATGGACACAGAGGAGTCCAGGAGTATCAGCATTAATGCTCCTTAATGCTGCAGTACAGGAACTGATCGCGATTGACCGCAATTGCTTTAATTTATTCAAGGCCTATATAAGTTCGGTAGAATCTCCATGTACAGTAGATTCTACCTCATCTAATCTCAGACTTC